ATGGATTTATCAATATCCTATAGAAGTTTGGAAAAGATTGCTACATTAAGTCCAAGATTTTTGGCATAATTCTAAAGCTAATTTTTTATTTGGAATTTCAGCTTAAATTTTGAACAAATATGTACTTACATACGTATATTTTATAGATTAAAATCTTATTTAATTCATTGTTTGTTTACAGGTCAAAAGTATCACGAGATACACTCTACGAGTCGGTTAATGGAGTTTTGGAGTTCTCGCTAAAAAAGAAGCGTGGCTTCTTGGAGACTGTGGAATTGCAAATTGGTCTCAAAAACTACGATCCCCAAAAGGATAAGCGTTTCTCCGGAACTGTGAAGTACGTGGGTGAGCACCTAAGTTGAAGAGCAATGTGCATTAGGAATGATTTCTTAATGCATATAGTTTGAGACTCAGGTAGTCAAATGATTTTTGACGGACCTTCACTCAGGGTCTTAAAATCAAACTGAGTAGGTCTATCATTGACCGCTTTCTAGTTCTTAAGATAGATGAAAAGCACGATCTATCGTGTAAGTCCCCACCTTAAATATAGTTATTTCAAGTGAATGAAATGATGTTTAAATATTTATTGCATGTATTACCTGAAAGCTATGAGCCTTTTGGTTACTATGTAGATAAAAATCGACTGATTGTGAAATGAAATTTTTTTTCTAAGATTGTGCCATTTGTGCCTTATTAATTATTGTATTGTTTCGTAGGTTGAAGCACATCCCTCGCCCCAAAATGAAGGTGTGTGTTCTCGGCGACCAACAGCATTGCGACGAGGCTAAAGCTAATGGAGTGGAATGCATGGATGCTGAAGCTCTTAAGAAATTGAACAAAAACAAGAAGTTGGTGAAGAAACTAGCAAAGTCGTACGATGCTTTCTTGGCTTCAGAATCGCTGATCAAACAAATCCCACGTCTTTTGGGTCCAGGTTTGAACAAGGCAGGCAAATTCCCTGGTCTTTTGTCTCATACTGAATCTATGATGGCCAAAATCGAAGAAGTTAAGTCAACCATCAAGTTCCAAATGAAGAAGGTGTTATGCCTGTCTGTTGCTGTAGGCCACGTTAACATGAAGCCTGATGAGCTAGTGCAGAACATCCACTTGTCTATAAATTTCTTGGTATCTCTTTTAAAGAAGAACTGGCAAAATGTGCGTTCATTGCACATTAAATCTTCTATGGGACCACCACAACGCTTATACTAAAAAGTAAAATCGACTTTGTTTGCATATTTTTTGGTAATAAATATATGTATTTGGACTTAGTATCTATCATTAATATTACAATTCTGCTGCTTATTGGCATTGTTGAAAAATAGGGTGCGTTCAGAAATGCATAATTATAGATTAGAAATAAATACGTCTGATGCTTTGATTGATGCACTTCTAAACACACCCATACTTTGTCGAATGTTGCCCACTTGATTAAAATTAATTTCAGTCAATTGGTAAATACTACATTTCTGTTGAGCTTATGGTGCGACCTAGGAATTCGCGTACTTCAGCAGCGCCATCTGCCTCCCATGAGTAGGATCTTCCTTGGAGTACATTTAACACTGGCTTAAAGCGAGTGCTCATTGTAAATTTAGTGCTTTCTAGATTCATCCATTTCGCCCATTCTTTTTCAAATGGTTCTTCGTTCTCTTCTAGGACATTATGTAGTACACAACAGGCTAGAGCAATTTTGTCAATTGTGCGAGAATTAAGGTCATAGTTCCATTTTAAAATGCGCCACCGGGCAAATAATCGTTGCAAAGCCTTATCTCTGAAAACAAACAAGTTGTCCACTGCTTCATTGAAGTCAAATTCGTGTGGCACTGCCGGTTCTTGGTACTTATGCATGAGCCATTTCCGGAGTGGATAGTAAGTATCTGGCGTCACAACAAAACGTGAAACCCTTTTTTCACTAATTAACTTTGGCGGAAGCTAAGTAAATTTAATTGATTTCAATCATTTGATCATTACATGTATAACATTAAACGCAATTATGCAAAACATCAGTCTTATTTCTAAATCATGATACGAATATGGTAATGTTCCATGTTCGGTTTATATATCGCCGACGATCTTTAAAAGTGACACAACTCAATATTACACGTTTGTCGGAAATGCGAAAAACTATTGCTTAGCACATGATAACCATATGGGCAAAGGAAACTTTACCCTTGGGTTTTTTCAATGAATTCTAACAAAAATTTGCTCACGCTTTGGCTGAAAGGTAAACAAAAGCTCCGTTGTTATTGTTGTAGCGGCATTACTAAGCCCTGCTTATGCGGTTAATCCTTCAATCATTGTCGTCAAGCTCAACTGACGGTAGGCCCAGGAAATGGGCAGTTTCAACAGAGTCGGACCAAAGGGAGAGGGGCGTTGGTTTACTAGTATTGGGGTCGGGTCTGGACATGTAGCTGTTGAGGCCGCTACAGTATCCAGACCGTAACTGGGCCAGGGTAAGGCGAAGCTCCGTTTCTGCTACAGGTGGTGATTGGGTTCCGATCACGATATTCATAGGCCGAGAGTCGTCGTAATTGGTGACAGACTCCCTATGAAGGGCTGTTTCGGCGTGCTCTGTGTACATTTTTAACGAATAATTTCAAAAATGCCAAATTTTTAATTGTATCACTTTTGAAAATCGTTTGCGATAAATACCGATTTTTATTAAAGTTGCGCAATTGGTATGCTTTATTCTCTTGTGCTTTAGAAATACATGACTTGAGTTTTGCAGTAATGCTGTTACGAATACAGCCAAATGTGTGAAGAATTTTCCACTTTATATTCATACTTACATTTGAAATCTCGTTTGTTTCTTCTAGGAATAGACTTGGCTGATTTGAATCAAATTTTACTTTACGAAAACTGTAAAAATCACATTAGGCAGGATAAAGAAGGAATAAACCAGAAGAACTTACCATAATTTATTATCGATCAGCATCTGCATTATAATTGTGGAGTTTGCTGGCTCGTTTGAATTGCTGTTTAGTTTCACCGATTTGGTCGTCAATTCACATATACCCAACACTCCTATGACCACTGGTGGCATATTGGAGGCATTATAAAACGCATTGCCGATTGCATCATATTCTTCTTCAGTGCTTGGCATGGTTAAAAATTGTTTACCCCATTTTTTTAAAATAGCTTCGGCAAACAATTTCATGAATTTGTAGATGGTTTGGCGGCTTGTGATCTGAAACATACGTGCTATTTCACCGTAATTATTACCAGTTGCAAAAGCGTACAAGCCCATCGCGATTTGTTGTTCATGAGATGCAAGCTTGTGGAAAGGCGAAGTTTGCCCCGAAGGCTGCATGACTTCTTTTAATTGATCACATATCCATTCGAACGATGATTTTCGCATACGAAAATTTGATATACAGTCCTCCTCACTTTTGATTCCCATAACATCTTCGTAAAATTTACGCATATAGACGGGCGCGACAGGCTCTTCAGTTAATAAAAGAGCTTTAGGCAATTCCTTTCTTAATTGAATACTACCTAGTTTCGGAATAGGAATAAGCTCTAAAAAACTAGTCTCTAATTCCAAGATGTGCTGCATGAAAAATGATCGCAGTAATGCTTGCCGGCGTTGTAATCTTTGCTGCCAACGTCGACGGTTAATCAGGATGGAGCGTTTGAAATTCATTAAATGATTTCTATATATTTCCAAAAGTTTTCTACGTGCTTTTAGATTATTCTCATGAGCAAATTTTATTGCCAAAGACTGAAATTGAGATGAATGAGGCATAATTGAATCATGGCTGTTGTTTACTATTCC